AGTGTAATGGTGAGTATCCCTGCCTGTCATACATGAGACCGGGGTTCAATTCCTTGCTGGGGAGTCGATGGTCATTTTTGATCCCTGACTCTATGCATGGTAGTCTCATTTTGGATTTTGAACTTGTCTGCACCAAAATGTGCGGCTCATTAACATCGGTTCAGAAGAGAGGTGGTCTCAATACGACTTCTTGGAAAATCCCTGTGCACTGTTCTCGAGTCTGGAAAACAATTCCTCACAGACAATTTTACATCCATGACCAACACTACACCAACTGTCATCATCATTTCTATGTTAAAGAACACAGCTATTGACTTACATCTCTCAAAGAAGAGTGAAATTAGCGTCAGTGCATCTCACTAATCGGATACAAAATCGTAGCAAGAAACAACGGGTTCTCGCTGATGGGTGCTTTTGTCACTGATAATCTGTTTCTTGTGTTGTTTCACAAGGCTCGGTGCGAGGTTGCTTTGTATAGACGTTGGAGCAGGAAGAGGCCAGGCGGTCCCTCCAGCCTGCTCCACTATTCAATATGATCATAGGGTTCACCCAACTCAGTGCCCTGTTTCACTTTTCACCGCAGATTCTTTTGTACCGAGAAGCCAAAGAACCATGACTGACTCCTTCTTATAAGACTAATCAATAATTTAGCTTCAACCGTTTTGTGTACCACAAAATTCTTCAGGCTAATTGCTTTCTGGTGATGATATGCCCGAAACGGATTGCAGCTTATCCTCAAACTGTGATCTCTGGTTATGGACTCTCCAGTGATCGGGAACACATATCGAAATTCTCTGCGCTATACAATCTCATTCGCACTGCAAGAAAGGAAATTGCTATTTCGGCTCTCACAACTGAATCTGTTTACTCAACACCTTGCTCAGCTCCCTACTTCCAGTAAACACTTCAATCAGGAACAAATCTATCAAATGCTTTGCATTGCGATAAGGACTGACGCTGCAAACTTGCCGAAGTCACGTCTTTGCCCTCTCACGATCTCCCCAGGAGCTGATACAAGTGGGATGGACGGATTTGTTTTCTCCTACACTCACTCAATTGGCGACAACTTTCTAACTGCTCAATGAGATAAATCTAATGCTTTTCGATCATTGGAACCACTTGTATGAATATGCACGCAGCAAATCGAATACTACGAAACAGATAAACAACCCTTCGCGGAATTTATCACAGCGCTGGGTCAGCGATATGGGGAAGATCATCGAGCTAAAACGTCATCCGCTGGTTTGGTGAATTGGCCATGGGAAATTGCCCCTCTTGTGCAGTGATGTGCAGACCAGATTGGTCAGCGGTGGGAAATGCAGTTTTTCAGAAAGCTCTTCGCGGTTCTCAGGATGGGTCACCGGACTCGCAATGTTAACTCTGATGTTTTCTTCACAGATGCTGCCGGACCTGTTGAGCTGTTCCAGAAACTTTGTTTTTCTTCGAGAGCCGATGCAGATTCAATGGGCCGAATGGCATCTGTCAATACGGTCGGTTTTCAATGATCTCTGACTCTATGCATTGTAGTCTCATTTTGGATTATGAAATTGACTGCACCAAAATGTACGGCTCATTAATATGGGTTCATGATCCACACCACACAAACTGTCATTATCATTTCTGTGTTAAACAACAAAGCTATTTACTTACATCTCTGTTTCAAATAGATCGATGTAGTCCAGCGTTATTGGCATTATTGAAAACTAAAAGATATCATGTAAACCTGCCCAGAAAATATTCACGTGGACGTTGCCAGGGTTGCAGGTTTCGCACTGTACGGCGAGGCTGAATAGGCCGGGGTAGTTATCCCTGGAGCGTCGGAGGCTGAGGGACGACCTGGCAGAATTTTATAAAATCATCAGGGATACGGACAGGGTGAGTAGTCAAGGTCTTTATCACACGGTGGGCGAGTCCAAAACTGGAGGGCGT